TCGGCTTTTACCTTAGCGGTTTATGATCTTGAAACAAAACAAATAAATGGAAACAAAAACTCCATTATCAAGGATTTGAATGTTCCATCTCTTGATGGATGCTTCACTCCGGAGTTCTTGGAGTTTGTGGAATTGCAATATGGAATCCCAATAAAGTATTGTGGGAATCTCTACAACACTTGTAAGGCCATTGAAGAGCCATACTTGGAGATTCTTCAAAGCATCAACCATGAGACTAGGCATTGGGCCATTGGTCCATTAAATCCTGTGGAATTGGGTTCACTAAGGCACAGTCACCCCTGCTATGAGTGGCTGGACCAACAAGAGATTGACTCAGTGGTCTATGTGTCCTTTGGGACTACCACGACCTTGGAAGACGAGCAAATTGCTGAAATAGCAGGTATGTTGAAGTCCGACATTGACTAATTAAAGAAATTATCATAGATAGTAAGGGACGCTATCTCTATTAATAGGAAATCTTTTGGGATAATATCATACTAGTGTGGATGAACCTTATCTAATTTTATGATCTACAAGATACACGGTAATGGTTATTGATCGGGCTTTTACTCAACGTTTTTAAAATACATCTTCTAGGGAGAGGTTTCCACACCCTTATAAAGGGTGTTTCGTTCTTCTCTCCAACAAAAGTGAGATCTCACAATCCACCTCGTTCGGGGTCCAATATTCTTGTTGGCACTCATTCTCTTCTCCAATCGATGTGGGACCGTCCAATCCACCGCCCTTTGGGGCACAGCGTCAATGTTGGCACACCGCCTCGTGTCCACCCCCTTCGAGGCTCAACCTTCTCACTGCACATAGTCCGATGTCTGGTTCTGATATCATTTGTAATGACCAAGCTCACCGCTAGCATATATTGTTCTCTTTGGGCTTTTCCTCAATGTTTTTAAAACACGTGTTTTAGGTAGAGGTTTTCACACCGTTCTGAATGATGTTTCATTATCCTCTCCAACCGGTGGGATCTCATAGACACTTTCGAATTTTTTTAACCTAGGAATCCTAACCCAAGTATCAAAAAAAAAAAAGTGTAATATTTCAATTTCAATTTCACAGGTGGATTGGAAAAAAGTGGGCAAAAGTTCATTTGGGTGTTGAGAGATGCTGATAAAGGAAACGTCTTTGACGGTGAAGTTAGAAGATCAAAGCTGCCAGAGGGGTTCGAGAGGAGGGTGTCAGGAAGAGGGTTGGTGGTGCGAGATTGGGCGCCACAATTAGAGATTTTGAGCCATCCATCGACCGGAGGGTTTGTGAGTCATTGCGGGTGGAACTCTTGCATGGAGAGCATAGCGATGGGGGTTCCCATAGCAGCGTGGCCAATGCACTCTGACCAACCGAGGAACGCTGTACTCATAACAGAGATGCTTCGAGTGGGTCTCCTCATTAGGGATTGGGCTAATCGGAACGAGATAGTAATGGCAACAACCATAGAAAATGCAGTGCGAAAGCTTATGGCATCAGGGGAAGGTCAAGAGATGAGGAAGGTAGCGAACGAGCTTGCCACCGCCCTACGCCGATCAGTTGCAAATGGCGGAGTATCTCGAGTGGAATTTGATTCTTTCATTTCTCATATTACAAGAGACATTAATGTTGTGTGTTCATGTTAGCGCCTAAACGAATTTAATTTTTGTTTATGCATTATTTAAAATAAAATTATATATGTAAAACGAATAATGTTATCTCCCACCCTTCCTTTCCCTTTCCCCTATCTTCGTGTTCGTATCATACTTTTGAGTGTTAACGTTTCTTTTCCTCCATCTTTGTCACGACATGATATTTTGAGCCTTCAAATCTCAGACTATGACTTTTTTTAACCATTTAAAACAAATAACATCATGTTTAATCTGATTATATCACTGTTTTTGTCCTATTGTGGTTGACAGTGTTGGTGGCCCTCGGTGTTCTCAAGTTGTAGCTACCTCATAGCCTTAACTGCTCTCAGGACGGTAGGACGTGGTCAGGATCATAGCCTTAGTAGTACAATGAATCCTCTTATTCAGGCCTAGGATGAACCTTTGAGCCAACTTCATCTTTATGTCGATAAGTTCAGAGGCAAACTTCTTCAGTCTCATGAACTCTCTTCTCTAGGTAGTGATGGAGCGTTTATTCTCTGCCAGTTGGGGGGAGTTCTTGCAATTTTTGAAGTCGGATGTCCTCTAGGTAATAATCCTCCCAAAATGTCCTTTTAAATTGTGACCATGGTATCACTCCTCCGTCAAGGCTAAAGATGTCTTAAGTATCTTTCTACCATATCTTTGTGTCGTTCTACAACATAATCGAAGCACACTATGTCTTTTGATATCGGGCAGTTTATCAACAAAATGATTGTCTCCATCCACAATAGCTATAGTTGCGCAACAGTTGGATCCTTTAAGGTTCTGCTAAAGATACGGGGTCATACCTCCTCAAATCCTTCAAGTACCTTACCTCTAGGATTGACAAAGCACGAATGACTTGTTGGGTTGCCACCATTGTTTGCTTGTTCGAGTCACGGATCCCCACAATCGGGACACACTCTACCCGTGCCTTGTTCTCCACATACAATCATACTATACATTGCATTGTACACATGAATCAATCATAAACAACAATTAGCATTATCTTTTTTTTAATCTTTTGTAAGGCATACTTGACGGCAACGGTGTGTCTGCGGTGGGACTAAAAGAGCATGTCGAAGCTATATCGTAGGCTAGTCTACATAATCTATAACCTAAAGCTCTGAGATATTTTTACTATTAAAACCAAGAAAAGAATAGAACAATGTTTTGATCTAATCTAAAAGCCACAATATACAGAGGTGTCTTGTTTTTATCTAAAAGTGAGAGTAGCGCGTGGTTTGAATATTTTAAAAAATAATCAGTAAGTGACCCACTACTGAGGTCAAGAAATGTAATCACGTGCAATCATGTTTGGACCTATCGTTTCATACTTTGGTCTCAACTTTCAGTCCGGACAGAATTGGATGTAGTACTTCTCTACAGATGGACCCAGGCAAGCTCATATATGTATCTCCTGAACCTAGCCTTCGACTAGTGTACACTCATGATGGTGATATACCATGGAGAGAAGGGAGCGTGCATAGTATCATGGTGCACATATTACCGTATCGTAACATCGTAGTGTGCGTATTCGTACTGATCATAACGAGAAAGTATCTCGATGCACCTGCATATACAATTTGCATGAGGTCCGCATAGTTTAAAATCATGATACTATTTGTGATGTAATATATATCTCTGTTCATTTCATACGTAACACAATCATTTTATGTCATTTTATAATACAGTGAAAAACATGGTACCACAATTTCATAACATAAGACAATCATCAATGGAATAACAGGCCATAACATCATATATCTCATAATTACAACATATCATAACTTAATAAGCAAACATTAAACAAACACAAGGTACGATATGTGCAAGGGTCGTGGGGAGCGCATCATTCATACTTCAAGCAATTCATCTAACCAAACCAGTAGTGAAGCCACTTACCTGCATGGGGAGCGCATCATTCATACTTCAAGCAAATTCATCTGAACCAAACCAGTAGTGAAGCCACGTATCTGAACCAAACCAGAAGTGAAGCCACTTATCTAAGCTTAAATTGAAATTGCTAATTTATACTTGAAGCTAGTTTAAATTTTTCTCTCGAAGTCCAAGTCAACCTATGCAACCTATGTGAGTTCACGACACCAGATTAAAATAGCCCAGATCCACCGCTAACAGACATTGTCATCTTCCTCTTTCCTCTTTTCTTCCTCGTTGGACTTCCCCTCAAGGCTTTAAAACGCGTCTCATCTTTCTCTTTCCTCTTTTCTTTCTCTTTGGACTTCCCCTCAAGGCTTTAAAACGCGTTTGGTAAGGGAAGGTACCGCTCTCGCGGCCCGCACCTAAACAGTGCTTTACCCATAGATGTCCAGTCAACTGATGCGCCTCAACGCATTTCGGGGAGAACCAACTAGCTCTAGGTTCAAGTGACATTTCACCCCTAACCACAACTCATCCGTTGATTCTTCAACATCAGTCGGTTCGGACCTCCACTTAGTTTCACCCAAGCTTCATCCTGGTCATGAACCAACTAGCTCTAGGTTGGAGACTTGACTAATTAGGAAGCTAGAAACATAACTTCACAAAATGAAATTCATTCCTTCTCATATATAGGTAAATAGATGAGTAGTTCTATTACGTGTGTGATATCAGAATTAGATGTGAGATCCCATATCAGTTGGAGTGGGAAACGAGTGCCAGCTAGGACATTGAGTCCTGAAAGGGGGTGGATTGTGAGATCTCACATCGTTGGAGAGGGGAAGGACACTGGCTCCAAAAGTCGGAGAATTGTGAGAAACGTGGAAGGAAAGCCAAAAGAGGACAATATCAGCTAGCAGTAGGCTTGAGCCGTTACAGTTGGTATTAGATCCAAACATCAGGCGGTGTGTCAGCAAGGACGCTAGGCCTCGAAGGAGGATGAATTGTGAGATCCCACATCGGTTGGAGAGGGAAACAAATGTCAGCAAGGACGTTAGGCCCCGAATGTGGTGGATTGTGAGATCACACATATGTTGGAGAGGAGAAAGGACACTTAACCCCAAAAAGGGTGGATTGAGAAACTTCTCCGTAATAGACGCGTTTTAAAACCGTGAGGTTGATTGCGATACATAAAAAGTCAAAGCGGACAATATCTATTAACGGTAGACTTGGGCTCTTACATTTGAAGAATGAGACCTCACTTTCTCACTTACTTGAGAATGATTTAGGTCATGATAAGATCATAAACAAATTGTTCATTAGAAAATTAGTAGTACTTAATGTATAAGATGTAATTCCGGTGGTTAAATGGACTTCTGATTCAACTGTAGTTTGTAAACCATGAAATATTGACTTGTTTGTAATGATTATATTCCTGAATTCAAAATTGGTTAATTAAAAATTTTAATTGATTAATTTTTGTATGTTTAAAAAATTAAGGGGAAAATGAAGAGCTATAACAAAATCGAGTGGCGGCCGAGATTGAGGCATGTTGGAGAGTGAGAGGACGCCGCTGGGAGAAGGGACAAGTAGAGGAATGCCGAGGGCTAATCAAATATTCCGCAAGGCTCGTAAAGCCCTTCATGATCTCGACCTCCTCAAGATTTTGCAATCGGAGATAAACCACGAGCTTTCTTCCACTTCATTTCAGGTCCTTTTCAATTTCCTCGCATCTTTTCAATCACTTCAATAAACAAACAAATCATCGCTGCTTTCTGAACTGAATTTAATCGCAGAACCATGAACAAAAGGGCAGTTCCAGCGATTTCGCTGTGGAACATGATTCGCTCAAATCCCGAGACGTGGTGTTGCGGCGAAAATTGGAATCGGGTGAGGAGATCGCAATTTCTGCCCTATCGGGTCCTCTCATTTTTGGACGAGAAGGGGCTTTTTCGAGGGAGATTTTGATGAAGATTTGTGTGAGTAAGCCTGGAGTTAACTCCCTCTTGCAGTTTGATTGTGGGGTTTCAGAGGATGGTCATGGTGGATCTCCTTTCAAAATCTACAATGCCTATTATCTTCAATCATCTGCTTGTTTGGGCCCTTCTGTTTACAGAGGCCCTTTGTTCAGGTACTACTTTTTGGCAACTCTAGTAACCATTTGTGTTTTGATTGCCTTGTTTTAGAAGCTAGAAATTCTTGAGTTCTCTATGTTTACTGATTTCAAATTGGGACTGTGACTTGGATATAGAATTTTCATCTGTTGAGATTGGTCTCTTGGTTATATCTTGAAAAGAGTGTTATGACATGAGAAGATGAATAGGGATGGCTTTTCGCTTAATTCCTTCAACATTTTTCTTTTGAGAGCTCTGTCGGGTGAAAGTTGTAGGCTGTCTCTTGGGGCTGGTTGTTTTTATTGAATTCTTGTAATTTGGGATCCTATTCATCATACATTCGTCGAACCTTTGCGCCACCCTCCTTGTAGAAGGCACTAGGTTGATTCCACTGCACAATTTATGGAATCTTACTGCCAAAGTAAAGTAATGTGTGTACTGTTGATGATTGTTGGGAGAGAAGTTCCACTTCAGCTAATTAAGGGGTTGATCATGGGTTTATAAGTATGGAATACATCTCCATTGGTAGAAGGCCTTTTGGGGAAATAAAAAGCAAAGCCATGAGAGCTTATGCTCAAAGTGGACAATATTATATTATTGTGGAGGTCCATGGTACTAGAGTTATGCCCTTAACTTAGCATTGTCAATAAAATCCTCAAACGTCGAATAGATGTAGTCAAAAGTGACTAAAGTGTTGAACAAAGGGTATACTTTGTTCGAGGGCTCCAAAGAAGGAGTCGAGCCTCGATTAAGGAGAGGTTGTTCGAGGGCTCCATTGGTCTTAGGGTAGGCTCTATGGTGTACTTTGTTCAAGGAGAGGATTGTTGGGAGAGAAGTCCCACATCAGCTAATGAAGGGGTTGATCATGGGTTTATAAGGAATACCTCTCTGTTGGTATGAAGCCTTTTGGGGAAATTAAAAGCAAAGCTATGAGAGCTTATGCTCAAAGTGGACAATATCATATTATTGTGGAGGTTCGTGATTCCTAACCTGCTGTTACCATTTTTATTTTCCTTTGAGGAGTTAGTTATTGCTTTTGAAGTTCAAGTTGCAAGCTATTTCTTCATGTTGGTTAATAGTCTCTCTAGGAGCAAAATATTTTACGATTTACTAGAGCTCCTCCAAAATTACTAGAGCTCCTCCAAAATAATATATCTTGGTTAACGGTCTTCTTATCACTTTTAAAGTTCAAGTTCCTAACTTTTACGATTTACTAGAACTTGTTTGTTTTGTCTCATTGTCTTCAAGAGCCTCTATGTAATTCCCCATAGCCGTTGGAGTTTATATTATCTTCACATCCTCTTCTTCTTGTATGATCCTTGCTTGGTTAGAAATAAGACAGTTTACACCAAGATATAGCTTGGTAAACAACATTGTCGAAAAGTTTTGTGTGGGTCTGTGTCTTTTCTGTAAATATTCTCTGATTTCATTCTTTCCACATATTCCAAAAGAAAATCATGATGAATTTTTTCCATAGTAGGGATTTTGCATTTTTGAAAAGGTGGTATGTTAAGGCCATATCCAAAAAATCCTTTTCCTCCCTAGGAAATGTGAGATGACATCTGAATATGTGGAGAATCGTTGTCTAAAAATTCTGAGCATATGTGCATTGCATAAACAAGTAGCTTTGTCATTCGTTTTCTTTCTTGCATAATGGACACCAATTTGGAGAAAGTTGTTTGTGAATGGCTTATTTTGATTTCTACTTTGCTAAGCATCATGATTCATGATATTTAGTCAGTCATTCTCCAATCTTTCAGCTAGGCTTTGTCATTCATCTAATGCATAAGCTTTACCTGTTTTCTCTAGCTTTCTTCTCTCAGATACTTAAAACTTCTGTATCCATGGCAGCTCGTTAGATCCCGAGTTACAAAAAGCACTCAAGGGATTCCTAATCAGTAGAGGTGTTGAAGAAAGCCTGACCGACTTCCTTCTCATTCACCTGCATAAAAAGGAGCAAGGTCAGTATTTGAATTGGTTGCAAAATGTCGAATCTTTGATCGCAAAAAGACAACAAAACGAACTTTAACAACTTCACTTGGTAGCATAGATACCTGATTTTCATATGGGAAGAGAATGCCTGATTATAAGCGCAGGCTTTGATCATTTAGATTGATTGCTAAATGAGATATTTCTTTCATTCTGCTTGCATTTTGTGTTTCTGCAAGTGAATCCTGTTTCTTGCACTTGGAACATTCTTGACAGATTTGTTTGTCAGAACAAACATGTGGTACTCGTTTAGTTATGAGCCAAGGGTTCTATATCGATGTCTCAAATGATTATTGGAACTCATTGAGCTATGACAACAATCTTATGTAGCTCATAATGCAGGTTTATTGAATTTTGTAGCCTATAATGAGTTGTTTTTGTTTCAAAAGAAGTTTATGCTCTTATGGTAATAAGAGAAAAAGAATTGATGAAAAAGTGCATATGCTTGCATTTGCCTAGCGCTCTATGCATCTTTCTTGATACACATTTGTTTTAGCCGAATGATGACTCGTTTTTATATTTTTTTTTCTTCATGTTTTTATAACCATGCTTTTAAACTTCACAAAATTTTACAGGAGTTCGTCTTTTAATGGCCTTGTTGATATCTTAAATAAGAAGAAAAAATTGAAATGAGAAAGGTGTGAGAAAACAAACATAATTTTCGAAGTTTCTTATCTATTAGAAGTTTGGATCCCGTTTCAAAACCTTTATACATGTTTCAAGCACTTACTACATGGAGGATATCCAAGAACATTCAAAAAGCTGCCCATAATTTTTACGAAACGATTCATATAGATGAATATAACTAAACCAAAATGAGATGAGTATTAAAAGTTCAAAAACCGAAATAAGATTTGAATTCATAAAAGATACAAGGTATCAAAGATGAGAGAATTTGATATTGATTCCCTTTCAAAAGAAAAGTGCCAAGAAATAATTTGAAATTCAGCATTATCATATAACTTTCTCCATGTGACATATTATTGTCTATAGGACCAAGAAAGAAACCTATAGACTAGTTCATAGCTCATTTATGCAGGGCTCACTCTCTTTCAGACTAGTTTTAAGTTTTGCCATGGAATCTACAGTTCAAGGTTGACCAAGAAGTGAAGGCCTGTAGAAAGCATGGCTTTGTGCCAACTCGATCCGGTCTCGGGGATCATTCAAGGTCTCGTCTCGCAAGGCTTCTAGTATAGCTTGAGGTGATCCATCCCTAATGACCCGAAACACAAGAAAACAGAAATTGTGATTGAAAAACTTCGAGTTTAGGCTTAGATTAGGTTTGATTCAGTTCGAAGTAAATTTCATATCAATTTCTGCCGGCCACTTATTTGATGCAAATTTAGAATAGTAAGTTGAGGCAATTACCTTTTAATAAGTATTTTATAGAGTGTCTTTAAGATGGGACAAAGCTGCACAGGAGCAACAGGCTTGTTGTCTTCAGGATGCAACACATTTAGGCTTGACTGACTCAGAATTTCATAGAAAGCACCAACAGCAGAGACTCCCTACAATACAGAAAAGGATTTTTTAGCACTATATATTGTATGTGTATGTTCGTAGATACATATGTATCTTAGTGAGTTCCTACGTATGTATTTGAGTGAGTTCGTGTGTGAACATAAATACGTATGCATTTTAGTGAGTTCACATGTGTGTACATAGATACGTATGTATTTGAGTGAGTTCATGGTGTATGTAGGTACGTATGTATTTGAGTGAGTTTGTGTGCAAACATAGATTTGTATGCATTTCAGTGAGTTCACGTGTATGTACGTAGATACGTATGTATTTTAGTGAGCGTGTGTGAACATAGATACGTATGTATTTGAGTGCGTTCGTGTGTGTGCATAGCATAGATATGTATACATTTTAGTGAGTTTGTGTGTGCACGCAAGCGTGTATCCACAACAATCAGTCTTCTTGGAGATCAGTACTGAAATACGAGCATTTCTTTCCGAATCAGTGCTTCGAAAACTGTCGGTAAAGCTTTTAAACAAGAAAATACAAATGATTCTAACATGAACGCATAATGGAGCAAGAAAGAACTGCAGTTTCTTTACCTGAATCATCCCTTTGCCACTAATGCTATCACCCATATCTAGACTAAGTTCGCCCTTGGCCAACATTTGCCCGTACCAAGCGTTACGACCTTTCAACAAGGTCACATAAGTGTCAGCGAGCAAAGGCCCCGCTAGCTTCTCGGGTTCTTCTGCTAGTAAGTAAGTAATGAAGATCATCTCTGAGGTGCAATGTGCAAAGTATACTGATTTACTGGTAGCACTTTCATTGGTAAGGGCTGCCACCATTCCTGAAAGTTCAAAATGGAAAGCAATGAACATGGTAGAAAACTTCAAACAGTCCCAAAATTGTCCAATGCAAAATCTGGATCACCAAGACAATCACATTTTCGAAAAAGAGAGAATGTCGTGAATGTACGATGATAATGATAGAAATGAAAAAGAACTGTATAACCGTCTAAGCCCACCCTTACAAAGAATGTTTTGTTCACCTCTCCAACCGATTTGGGATCTCACAATGCACCTCCCTGGGGCCCAACATCTTCACTGGTCACTGCCCGGTGTCTGGCTCTAATAACATTTGTAACAGCCTAAATCCACTGCTAGCAGATACTGTCCGCTTTGACCCGTTACATATCGCCGTAATCACGATTTTAAAACACGTCTACGAGGGAAAGGTTTCCACACCCTTATGAAGAATGCTTTGTTCCCCTCTCCAACTGATGTGGGATCTTACAATCCACCCCCTTGGGGGACTAGTATCCTCGTTGGCACACCGCAAAGTGTCAGGCTCTGATACCATTTGTAACAGTCTAAGCTCACTCCTAGCAGATATTGTTCGCTTTGACCTGTTACGTATCGCCTAATGACAATTTTAAAACACGTCTACAAGGGAGAGGTTTTCACACCCTTATGAAGAATATTTTGTTCCCCTCTCCAACCGACGTGGGATCTCACAATTCACCCCCTTGGGGGCCCAGCATCCTTGCTGGCACACCACTCGGTGTCTGGCTCTGATACCATTTGTAACAGCCTAAGCCTACCGCGAGTAGATATTGTCCTCTTTAACTCGTTACGTATCACCATCAGCCTTACGGTTTTAAAACATGTCTCCGAGGGAGAAGTTTCCACACCCTTACGAGAAATGTTTTGTTTCCCTCTACAACCGACGTGGAATCTCACCATCTAACTATTCGCAATTGCAAAGCAAGATTCAGTCAAACAGCTACACATGAGCACGAGTGCTACCAAAAACAGTGATTAACTCCACATTGCTATGAACTAAAATGGACGTGAACAAGAACAAAAGCAATTGCTACAACAAAGTGATATATCAAAGACTGTCTTCAGATATACAAAATCATAGTCCATCATCATTAAGATAAATTAACCAGAAAGTATCTACCACTTACCAGCTCCAATGGCGTAGACGTTCTTCAAGCCACCCATGACTTCATGTGTCACAAGGTCACTATTATCCCATACAATAAACTGAGGTTGTCTCAAAAAATTTGCAAGAGGCTTCCTCCACTTCTCAGCTCCACAAATTCGAGCATTCGCGTATTCCTTGTTATAAATCTCTGAGGCGATGTTCGGTCCACCAAGATACAATATGTTCTCTATAGGCACTCCAGCTAAGAAAAAAAATTTCATAACACACAAACCAATGTTAGCCTCACAGTTTTAAAACGTGTCTATAAGAAAGAGGTTTCCACATCCTTATGAGGAATGCTTTGTTCCCTCTCCAACCAATGTGGGATCTCACAACTTGAGAGCACAACGTCCTCTTTGACACACCGCCCGGTGTCTGGCTCTGATACCATTTGTAATAGCCTGAGCCCACTGCTAGATATTGTCCGCTTTGACCCGTTACGTATCACCATCAGCCTCACGACTTTAAAACGCGTTTGCGAGGAGAGGTTTCCACAACCTTATGTGGAATGATTTGTTCCCCTCTCCAACCAATAAGTTTCCTATACTTATTAGTCTAAACTTCCTCAATCTTTATGATAATGTTCTTATTAGTCTAAACTTCCTCAATCTTTATGAGATAATGTTGTTTACAGTTCTAAGAACTCAAATCCAGACAGATAATAACTCGTTTTCAGCTCGAAATGTTCTTATCTGTTTAAAATGAAGAAAACAATGCAAATAGAACAGATTAAATGCCAAATTTGGTAAGAATATCTTACTTGCACGGTTGATCATCAGAGTAGGAGTTATTATGTGAGGAACAGGCTGAAGAGCAGCTTCTATACCCTTTGCTAAAGAGATGATAATTGGCACTGTGATTCGTTCTTTCCAATATTTACTTATCTCTTCAAAAACCTCTCTGGTTTCAGTGGAAGGTAAGCCATTAACAACAATGTCAGCATCCCAAACAGCCTCCTGCAAGTTAGTCACCACCTTCAAAGGACAAAGTGGTGTGTCAATCATGTTCAAGCAAAACCCATCTTTCAAAATCTCATCGGCGTAGAGAACTCGATCACCGAGCCTCGCTTCGACGTACTTTAGATAAGCACATCGTCGAATGAGCCTCCTTAGCACATCTTCCCTTGAATTGATCACTTCAAAGAGGTGTTCAGCTGTGGCTTTATCAAGAATCCTTCCTGCTCTCCTCCATATTCGGATTTGAACCTTCTCTCGAAATTGGCCATAGCTGTCTTGAAGAAGAGCTGCAAAAACACTCCCCCAAGCTCCAGCTCCCACACCAACGATCCTTAGTGGATCACCATCAGATTTTCCCAGAAGCCTTCTAAGTTCATCAAGCTTCTCTTCAAATCCATTGAAGTTATGCGTTGAACCATTTGAATGTGAGAGATTCATTGTCTATCAATGAACAAAAACCAGCCCCAGATAACAAAAGAAACAAATAATCTGAATACACAATCCTTCAAGAAGCTTATATCAGCAATACAGATCAAGTAGTTGGAACTAATGTCTAAATCAAATCAGAGGGGTCTAGAGTTGTAGCTAAACACTTCATCCAACTTCAAAAGAATCGAAATATTCAAATGCAGCATTGATCTTCCCGAGGGAGTTCGTTCATCTACCCACACCCAACAACAAAACGCAATTAAAAAAACGAAAACAGACAACAAACGATCATATATATTCAAATCAAGACCAGTACGTGTGAAATGGGGGAAAAAAGTCAATTAAATCGGTATGATCTTCAACACGGCGGAAACTACAAAGTTAGGGGGTAGGGTTTAAATTCGAAATCGAAGCAAATCGTTTCAAAACAGCAAGACGCACCTCGCACATTCGAAGATCCAGAGCCACACTGCGTAGAACAGTACGAACTCTCACAGACCCATCGGACACAGACAACGCTGAAAAACAAGCTCGAAAGGGGAAGTTCATGAGAAGAACTCCATTAGAGGAGAAAAATGGTGGCGATTGAAG